GGCTTCCTGCAACACTGCAATATATAGGTCGCCGGTAGCTAAGTATTGATCAATGAGCTTTTTAGATGGATCGGCCTCTAATAACAGTTCATAAGGTGCCGGTTCTTCAGGACTGAGTTTCCGGAAGGAGACCATCGTTAGTATTGCTGAATCGTAGCGTTTCATTTTTTGATCACCTGATATAATGGTAAGAATGATGAATGATAAATGGAGTATTGTTGTCTTCTTCAGTTGTTTAATATATTTCCCGCTGCATTTTAATAAAGGTAAACGCTAGTATATAATGTCCCGGAAAATTATGGTAAAACTGCCTGGTAGTTTCATGTCCTTTAAATGTCTTTTTACGCCCGTTTTTTGCCCGTTTGTACCTGTGCGATAAGGGGATGTTGCCCGGTCTCAATACTTTTGAATTACCTTGAAAGTGGCTGTCTACCTGCCTTTGAACCTTTTCTATCCAGGCAGCCACTTTTAATCCCCTCCTATTATTAACTTACTATTTCTATGTAGCAGCTTCCCAAAAGTATTTATACATTTAGGCATTCTTTCCCGAAAAAAAAATAATGGATATTATGCTAACGAATGTACAAATCGTAGAACTGGAATCAATACAAGTGACGGAAGCGTTGGGCGCCGCTCTGATGCTTAATATACTTCCTCCTTTAGATGCTGTGCTTTATTCTTCAATGATGTTTACATCACCCTTTACACCCACTACTGTAACAGGTTGTGTGAATGAAAATGTATTGACCTATTGTGTTGAATTTATAGATGAAAAAACAGTGCATGAGCGCCTCTGGATGATAAACACGCAAGGCGAATGTGCGGAGGATATTGATTATGTATGCGTGGATATTAATGATCCTCTTTATAATGGAAAAAGAGGTGGCCAGGTTGTACTTATAAAACCTTCTTTTATAGATCAGGGTGGTTGTAGGTAAACGAATCTTATAAGGCCGGGATGCCCTTTCTTAAAACATTGTATCAATACGGTTGTTTCTTTTTTGTCCTGCTTATCTGTTGTTGGTCGCACAGTCTGTTTGCACAGATTTCAGGTGGCAGTCGCAACGAGGTAAGCAGGATTATTAGCAGCTATTGCCCTGTTTGCCAGGCACCACGGCTTATGCCAAAAGATACAGCCGCTGCCTTGTTTCATAAAGCGCATCTTTTTATGGCCGCCCGTAATGCCGATACTGCATACCCGCTGATCTTGCGGGCCGAAAGGCATTATATGGTGCAGCATAATGATACACTCCTGTATTTTACACGCTATCTTAAAGCCGATATTCTTTATGATAAGCTATTGTATAAAAATGCATTACCTGTTTATAGAAGCCTTATAAAGCTGGGCTCTATTTATAATCTGCCTTTATTACCGGAGGCTCATATGGGCCTGGGCAGCATGTATTTCCGGGAATCTAAATTTGATTCGGCCCTGTACCATTTCCGGTATGTGGAGCAGTTTAAGCAGTACCCGGTTTCAGAGCAACTATTAAGCGCCTTGTATTTTAATATGGCCAGTTGTTATCAGTACCGGGAAGAGTATGCCCAGGCCGAAGCCTACCACTTTAAAAGCCTGGCATTAAAAGAACGGTTGAAAGATTCTCTGGGCATTGCCAGTGCCTACCTCAATATGGGCGACTTATACTTTGATGAGTATAAAGATGATACCGCTGCTTACTACCTCGAAAAATGCCTGGAGATGGCTACGCGGCTGAATAATTTTCAATTGCTGGAGTCTGCGAATTATAACCTGTTTAAGGTAAACCAAAGCCGGCAGCAGTATAAAGAAGCCCTGGCACACCTGGAACAATCGCTGGCCT